TGCTTTATTTACGTTATCTCGGTTCATCCCGTGAGGTTGAAATTATCCCTGCTTTACAGTGGAAAAAACCGGGGCTCCGTGAGAGAGGCTGAGCTGCCCGAACATGCCTGCGGGTGGGCAGCGGAGCAGCCTGGGTTCGAACCCACGCCTAAGTGAGCTAAACTGTCCTCTGCCGAGCACACAGTGATTGGGGATCAGACGGAGCAAGAGCAGAGATGGTGGAGAGAGTTCACCTATCTCTTTTCACTTACATTTTCATTCGGAAGGAGGGCGGCCTCCTCAGAGCTCAGAGAGCACAGGCAGCTGTGAACCAGTTCACAGAACTCGCCTGAAAAACACGAGCCTGCCTTTCGATAACCTCCCTGCTTTTTCCTTCACAGTCCACCTCTTCACGGCCCAAAGCTTCAAGAACTTTCCAACATGGAGCACACGGCCACCTCCTTCCACCTACCCTTTTATAGTCAGACTGGTCCTTCATGCCCAAAATAAATCAGCCTGAGGAGAGGCCAGAGAAAGCAAAGCTTAATAGTTTTGTACTTTCATTATTAAGTTATGGGACATGAGCTGGACAGATTTACCATCACGTTTTTATAAATTCCCCTCCAAATAAATAATTCTAGGATAGGCCCAAATGACTCCGGCCTCTTGACCCAGCATGTTTTTGTAATTACTTGGCACTCCAACTGGATGCTACTTAAATTAGGCAACAGTCACCAAGTTATTTTTAGGCCATAGCAACACACACACACACACACACACACACAGAGCTACACCTAGCTTGTTCTTTGCACTCCTTTTGAAAAGGAGCGCAAGCTGTCTTTTTATCGGAACCACTAGTTCTGTTCAACCAATAGTAACAATAATATTAAGGTACATTTTGGGGTGCTTAGCAGGTGTGAGAAACTATTTAGAAGCTTCCACACGTTAATTCATTGACTTTAGGAAAACTGAACGATGAGAGAGCTACTGCTAGCATATTTTCTTTTCGTAAAGGAAGAAACTAAGAAAGTAAGAGATTAAACAGTTTCCTCAGTCAGGGGCCGAGACGAGGACTCAGACTAGAACTGCTGACCTCCCCCACCGCGGAGCTGATGTTCAGTACGCTTGGGTGGTAAACAGAGGCTCAGAATAACAATGGAAAGTTTGAGAATGTACATGTGCCCTCACGGCACCCCTGAAAGAAAGGAGGACGCTTTTGTCCGCCCCCCCCACCCCCCCACCCCCCCGCAAAACAAAACAAAGTAGAAACAGAAAACTTTTTCACAGTGTCTCTGACTTCTGAGCATCGCCACCGCTGTGTCGGCAAACTCAGCATGGCCACAGGTGTTTACCGCGGGGCCCACGTTGTCTGCGGAAGAAATGCCACCCATGTGGCTCATTTCAGGAGCCCCACTGGAGAGTCTGACAGTATGAAAACCGAACCCCGCATGGCATCGAACGTTCTCTGTGGATCGGCCTCCTGAGCCGACTTTCTTCTCTCCTACCCCTGTTCCGCGGTGAACGCTTCTGGTACCGAGGTCGGCCTGCCGGACACTGGAGCAGACAGTCTCAGTTTGGTGACAGCACAGAGGGAGCACAGGCATGGACCCTGACATACCCCTGTGGAAGCGGGAGCTACAGACACCCCCAAGGGAGGGCAGCCTCCCAGGAGACCTGACACCAGTGAGTCAAAGTGCAATTCTACATTCGAAAAACTCTCAGAAATGGGCCCGCGATACTCCAGTATTTAAGAGTGCAAATGTTGGCCACGCTATACTATAAAACGTCCCGGCCTTATTACTTTTCAAGCATTAAGTTGAAACATGAAACATATTTACATACATTAAAATGTTGTCTATACTATAAAACATTTCAACCAAAAATAGAAAAGAAAGCAAATAGAGACAATGACTGTGGAATCTGGCGGTGGGTATATGGGAGCTCGTTAGAGTCTTTTCTACTTTTCTAGTCGAAAATTTTTCCAGTGAAAGTTTTAAAGGCACAGACCACCTTTAAGAAGGAGGCCGCAGCAGCACATCCTGTCCTACGTAGGCAAACGATGAGTTAGTTCCCTGAGCCCCGCCGTGCTAAAAAGAGAGGGAGCCTCATAAACATCAAAGTCGGGAGCTCTCCCCACAGAAGACCCGGAATCGCCTCGTCGCCTTGAGTGTGGTCAGAAATGTCACAGGTCGACTTGGGAGAAAACAAATTATAATTCTTTCAAAGATTTTGCAGATCCCTGAACACGTATTCATTTCTCCAGGTGGAGAGGCGGCGTGGGTCTGATGCCATTTTTTTTTTTTCTTCCTCCAGAAGATGAGGATGAAACATGCATTCTGGCACAGGTCACCACGGGGAGGGGACTGTAAATGAGAGCGGCAACTTAATCTCAGGGGCACCTGTGCCTCTGATCACTTTCTTCCCAACCTGACACAGCGTGACTAAAACGGTCACTGAGCAGCCGTTCTCCTTGACAGGCAGCGCCAGAAACGGAGAACGTGGCATGGACACGGGGCGACATGAACCTTGGAGAGCGACGGTAGCAACCAGTGTTTACAAACATACGCCAGAGGACCAGGTGAGCCGGCCATAAATCACCCGAGATGGTAGTGAAATCTCTGAAAATAAATTAATGAGGCCATGGAAGTGGCTCCTTGCTACCTGCCCCCCTGACCCCGGCACCCTAGCTTTCCTGCGAAAATCACTCATTCCAAAATGGCACTGCTACCACGCCTGCTAAAATAAAAGCTGACGTCACCAAGGGCGGGGTTTGCTAAAATAAAGCTCGGCGGAGAAGCCAGGCCAGCATGGAGGGTGTGACCCGCTCGGGAGACCAGGAGAAGCTGCTGGCCATGGCTTCGGCGAGAGGCCCCCCGTTCTTCGCCTCGATGCTGCTGTAGCATCGACCTTGGGTTCGCTCCGACGGAAGGGTTTCTAGGGCATCCTAATATCGATCGCTTTCTCTTCTGTCCCATCTTGGTCCCCATTTTAGGCCATTCCCCCCAAAAGAGACCAAAATAATAATGACGATAATAATACATAAAGTAGATTCTAGACCCTTTTGCTCCTAGACTACGTATTTTCAACCAAACTCCCAAATATTTGAAGAAAAAGCCCCCAGGGCTACCAGTAATCCAACCTCTACCACCAGCGAGCGCGTCCTCCGGGCCGACCGCCGCTGTGTGTCACCAACCCGAAAATGACGAGCCCTCGGAGCGGCCGCCCAGGGCGCCGGCGTGAGGTCAGCGGCCGGGCCGGCCCCGCCCCCGAGACAATCCTACTCACTGACGCCGCGGAACCAGCCGGGGCTGCCTGGACTCTGGCTGCATCCATAGGAAAGGGGGACAGGAGCCCCACTTGCCATCAGCAGCACCCCGGAGACTCATTTCTCAGTGACTGAGAAGCTGCCCCCATACGTGACAATCCCACTGCCAAACAGAAGGCAGCATCTACAACTCCTCCTGATCACCACGGTCATCTTAACGGGCATCATTTGATGCCCATCCTCAGATCGCACAAAAGGCCTGCATTTTCTCAATAGGGTCGACTCTGCACGAACAAGAAAGACCATCGAGACCGTTGGCGACCCTCTCTCTTTGCTCCCCAAGACAGATGGTGACAAGCGGGAGATGTGTAGGTTCTATTTTCTCATCCGAAAAAGATCATGGTGAGAAAACACTAGCTGGACAGACCTACTGAGAATCACTCAAAGTCAAGCGAACAAGAATAGAAAGAAATGAGATTCAGAGCCACACAGAGGAAATCTGAGCCTACCTGGAACCCCAAGAAGACCCACAAACGACAACCCAAACATGCCCGGATGGTGCCGGAGCTCTCTGGACACGACCTCCATGATATTCTCATTCCCACTGACAAAAGGCACGATGTGTCACTGGGAAGTCGGGAAGGGGAGTGGCAGAGCTGTCTCACAAAGGCCCCACGGCTAACTCGCTCACCTCGACGGTCTCTTGCAACTTAAACATGCAAGGTGTTCAAGGAACCCTCAGTCAACGCACCTCAGGAGACGGGCTGGCGATGCGGCCCCGACTCTGTGCCGTGGCTCAGAACAAAAAAGACGAGAAGAAGGACGATGACGACCTCTCAGCACTGCCACCGCCGGACAGAAGACACTCAAGAGGAAGACCGGGGTGCAGGGCCCGAAAAGACAGCATCTGGGGTACAACTGGGATGGACACCGGATGGGGACACCAAATGAGGGGCTCAGAGGACAGTGGGTGATTAATTCCTCGTGCCCCGGCTTGGCCACCGTGACTGCGGAGTTATCCTGCACTGAGCATACTGGGGAAAGTGACCCCCGCCCCATCTGGGAGAAGCCAGGGTGCCAACGGTTCCCAGGTGAGGCCAGAAGGAATAATGCGTCCGGCAGCGTTTCATGAGAATGACTGTCCCCTTAGAGTTCCGGCAGAGAAACACATGTTTGAGGTCAACTCACACCTTCTGTGGGGCCTTAGAACAAGGATCTCTGTCCTTCATGAAGGTCACTTTATGAACCACAGAAAGTCCAAGCCGGTCAGAGAGGAAAGAAAGAGGAAGAATTTCCTCAGAAAGAACTGGCACCTGTCCGTTTACTCGTAGGTCTCTAGAGGTGCCACTTCCTCCATCCCATCCACTTCGGTTAAGTCTGAGCGACTAGAACTTTCCAACTAGTGACTGGTTAGACTAGAGCTGCCAGACCAGGCGTGACTTGACACACCATCTGCAGCTCCAAAAGCCCCTTGCAGAAAGATGAGGAAAGTCTCAGGGAGGTGAAATGACTTGCACAATGCAAATTAGAGTCTGAATCTGGACTACAAGCCGAAGCGTCTGGCTTCCAGGTCAGCCTTGCGAGATTCCTCTCGCATAACCGAGAAAGGGCACGGCCGGGCAGACAACAAGAAGGAGGAGGTCTGTTTCGGCCTTTGGTAGCCAGAGAAAGGAGCATGCTGGTACTTCTAAGAGAAGACCCCAAGCGAGCCCAGGCTGACGAGGGGTGTGCCGGGGCAGGGGGCGGGGGGCATTACCTTTCAACACCAGGGGTTCTTTGCCTTCTCTCTTCAGGGACTCGAGGACTATGTGGAGTGGCTGGGTGGGCATCACGCGGCTCGGCTCATTGGTGTTCTCATCGTAGACTATAATTTCTTTGGAAAAGATCCTCTTGAAAGAGTCCTTCCCTTCCCTACAGGAGATCAGGTCCAGGACGGCGATCTTGCCCTGCTGCAGCCTGCGCCGGCTGATCTTGTCGGCACAGTTGATGTGGACAGCTCCCTGGATGTGGCTCTTGTTGTATTCCATGAAGGGCCTGCAGTCAATGATGACGGGGCCCTGGTGCGGCAGGTGACTCTTGCTGAACTTGGTCATCTTCTTCGCCAGGTCGTTGGGGTAGATGATTTTGATGCTGGCTAGCTGCTTGGGGGTCCCCGACATGGGGCTGCCCACCCCACCCGAGGGACTTAAAGAGCCTGCGTTCTCATTGTTGTTGACCATCTGGGTGGCAGGGCAGGTGGTGGAGGGTCCGAGGGCGGTGTTGGCGGAGCCGGCGGCGATGGCTTGGGTTTGGGCCTGGTTGTCCTTGTCGTAGGTGGCCACAGTGCAGCAGCTGGCACTGCTGCACCCACAATTAAGGGAGCGGGCAGAGCCGCTGGATGAGGGCATATACGTCAGATTCGCAGCCTTTAGGGACACGACGGTGGTGGCGATGACAGACGGGTGGCTGTTACTGCCTGGGGCGGCAGAGCCAAGGTAGCTAGAGTCTAAACAAAGGTTGAGATCTTGAGGCCGGACGGGCCTAGACAGCGCTACTACTACCCTGTCGTCTAAAGGAGATGGAGGCATGAGGAGGCCGAAAACTGGCAATTCAAGAAGAACTCAAGACAGTCTGTAAAGAAGGGGAGGGGGGGAAAGAAAGAATGAAGTCACGTGACACAAAAGGCAGTCCGATCCAATCCCTAGGAGAGGGCTTTGCACCCCTCTGGGCAAAGTCGTCCTACGCGCCCTCTCTCGTGCCCCGCTTGAAGCTCGAAACCCCACTTCACAGATTCGAGAGGATGTCAACTAGAGGACCCCGTCTCCTTGGTCACTAAGACTAAGGGTAAATGTATAGTCTGCGCAAATGATGATGAGTGACCTCTCTCGGACCTGCATCAGAGTTCAGTCGTGGAGCAGGGAAAAGCACAAAGAATGAGAAACGCCGAAGACAGAGAGGAAGGCTCTTCAGAGGCACCGATCTGAACCTCACCTCCTGGGCAGAAGGGTACCGCGACCATCTGAGGAAGACCCACTCGTCCGCCCTTGCGTACCTTCCATGTCATCCCTAAGGCAAAGGCAAAGGAACGACCAGGACCGCTGGCAGGGCTCACGGAAATACCCGGCAGCTAAACACACATCAGGGGCGATGTCGACTTTCCGCAGATCAGAGTGAAAGTGTCCCCCTAAGTGAATCTCTCTGACAAGGAGCTATTCTTGCTTTCCACTCGACCGAGTCCTCTGAAAAGCTCGGCGCGGTCATGTTAAAACCCCCATGTCTCCTCGTAGCCTCTCAGAAATTAATCTGCATTTCTCCTCTCCTTACAAACCGGTGTCCTAAAACGAAGCCTCGAGGCAAGCGGCCAGGTCTGGAAACCCCAACCATGGCAGATCCATGACCTTTGCTCCCTTGCCGTCCCCCCTCCCCCAACCACGCCTGCCTTTAAGGGAAGGACCACTTCCACTCTCCTCCGGGGAGGCACAGACTATGCGTCCTAGAGGGTCCCTTGACCGGAGGCGGGCACCGTGCATAAGCTTTCAATCCCACACAGATATTCCCGCTCTTCAAATAGAGGAATTCCAGAAAGATGACTTCCCCAACAGCCCATCCCCGTGAAAGGGGACAGTGAAGTGTTGCCCACGGGATCTACCTCTTGTCTCATGAGAGGGTGCCTGCAAAGGGACAGTTCCTTCCTCCCCGTAGGCACGGGGACACTCTACCACCTGGCCCTGCTGGTTCCTATCCTATTAGACATGTACACAGAAAAGAAAGCAGACCCCACGCAAGAGTCACTCGCCTAAAAGAACTTTGAGATGTCTGGAAAAATGTCATCTATCGTTTGTCTACACACGACCGTCACCATTCTCTGACACAGAGCCCAAGTGCCACAGGCGGAATCCACACACGCACGCGTGCACACACGGGCTCGCGTCCATCCCATTCGGAGGTCCCCAGGACTCAGGTTTCTGTCAGCCACCTCTGGATGGGCGCAAGGATCCAACCCCTGCCCTCCCTCCCTCCCTCCCTCTTTCCTTCCCTTCTTTGCGTAGTATTTTTTTGAAGAGCAAGTACTCTTCCAGAAGCTGTAACTGTTTCCCAGCCGGACCAAGCGGTCAGAGTCTTTGCTATTGTGTTACCTGGTGGGGTAAACCCCAGGGCCAGCGGTCCATTTCCCGGCAGAGGGACACATGAGCGGGTTCGCTGAGACACCAGCTCAGACCCCCGCCTCCGCCCAGAGCGTGCGGCTCACACACACGCACGGAGTGTATAAAGGGATCTGCAGCAGAGGGTCGGGCGTGTATACTGCCCGTGAAACCATCCCAACCGGCCCAGGAGACCTGCCGGAGAAATACTGAGCCATCCCCTTTCCCTCGCTACTGGTCCTTCCGCCTCTCAGCAGAGGCTGGGAAGAAAATTAAGCGGTCAGAGAAATGCTCCTTCCCCACTCCCGGAGCACCCGACATCCACCACCCCCACCCCCCCTTTCGCAACACAGAGCACTAACAAGCCCCAGGCATTTAAAACTGCCGCAAAGCATCCCAACAAACCTCATTTTTTCTTCGCCCGACATCCAAATAGACTGCAGGGAGAGTAAATGCACAGGGCAGCAAGAGCCAACAGCCGGAACGCTATAATCTCACCTGCTGTGGCTCCCCGAAAGCATCGCCACACACACACACACACACACACACACACGCACACACATGCACACACACGAAGACACACACACCGCCTTACACTCCTTGGCTCTCAGGAGTAACCGCGGTGACTTCCACTTACTTCACAAGTAAGCGTGGCCCTCCACCATCTGGCGCTCCGCTTCAGTACGGGTTCGCACATTCAGCCCCCATTCACCGGGCTTCATTGATCTCCAGCAGCAACATAGTTACTTTCTCTTTTGCCACACTGTAAATGTAAGGTTCTGAGGGGGCGGGCCGGCTGCCGACCGACGGCGCGTTCGGCCAATAGGAATCCGGAGAACGCGGACCGCTACCTCACAGCAGCCCGCGGCCAATGGGCGGCCGGAGGAGGAGGAGCCGGGGGCGTGGCTTCGTCTCTTTAAGGAGGGTTGATGGGACGCCGCGCTGGGTCCCTGGTGTTATAACACGGGCGGTGATGTCATTGGCAACCAATCAAAAACTTAAAAGGGCCAGCCGGGGCCCGCGCGGAGCAGCTGCTCTCTATTTACATGTAAACCGAACCGGCAGGATGCAGTTAACCCTTTCCGGGGCTGAATTGTCAATGGCTGGACTCGCCGCCTCGCCTACAGCGGGCTCGCTCCACTTGACCGGATCCCCTTGCGCCCCTCGCCCGGGGACATACCACGCTGTCTCTTTATTTTTCCTTCTCTGGACGGATGATCAAAAGTGTCAGAGTAACTTTCTAAAGGCGAGAGACACGGAGAACGGTCACGGTGCCCAAGGGGAAAAGCCCGTTCCCCGAGCGGTTCGAGGTGACTTGAACTCTGCCCCCGGGTTCACGGACATCGCCGGGCCTCCTGCGCGGGGACCGTCGTGGGCGCGCAGCCTGGGGCACCGCTTCTCCGACCCGCGGCCCCGGGCCACGCGCTAGGGGCCTGGGCTCGGGCGCAGCTGTCCGGCGGCC